TCGATGGACTTTACGTTTTGACATGTTTTTGCAATGGCTGGTACCTGTTGTTCCTTTCCATGTTTAGTGCTTCCTTCAGGATCTCTTGTAGGGCAGGCCTGATGGTGACAAAATCTCTAAGCATTTACTTATCTGTAAAGGATTTTATTTCTCCTTCACCTATGAAACCTAGTTTGGCTGGATATGAAATTCTGGGTTGAAAATTCTTTTAAGAATGTTGAATATTGGCCCCCACTCTCTTCTGGCTTGGAGAGTTTCTGCGGAGAGATCTGCTGTTAGTCTGATGGGCTTCCCTTTGTGTGTAACCCGACCTTTCTCTTTGGCTGCCCTTAACATTTTTTCCTTCATTTCAACTTTGGTGAATCTGACAATTATGTGTCTTGGAGTTGCTCTTCTCGAGGAGTATCTTTGTGGCGTTCTCTGTATTTCTTGAATTTGGATGTTGACCTCCCTTACTAGTTTGGGGAAGTTCTCCTGGATGATATCCTGCAGAGTGTTTTCCAACTTGATTCCATTTTCCCTGTCACTTTCAGGCCCACCAATCAGATGTAGATTTGGTCTTTTCACATAATCCCATACTTCTTGGAGGCTTTGTTCATTTCTTTTTACGCTTTTTTCTCCACATTCTCTTCTCGCTTCATTTCATTCATTTGATCTTCAATCGCTGATACTCTTTCTTCTAGGTGATCCAGTTGGTTACTGAAGCTTGTGCATTTGTCACATATTTCTCGTGTTATGGTTTTCATCTCTATCAGTTCTTTTAAGGTCTTCTCTGCATTGATTATTGTCTTTATCCATTCTTTCATTCTTTTTTGAAGGTTTTTAGTTTCTTTGCGCTGGTTACGTAGTTCCTCCTTTAGCTCTGAGAAGTTTGATCGACTGAAGCCTTCTTCTCTCAACTCATCAAAGTCATTCTCCGTCCAGCTTTGTTACCCTGCTGGCGATGAGCTGTGTTCCTTTGGAGGGGGAGATGCGCTCTGATTTTTTGAATATCCAGCTTTTCTGCACTGGTTTTTCCCCATCTTTGTGGTTTTATCTGCCTTTGGTCTTTGATGATGGTGACGTACTGATGGGGTTTTGGTGTGGGTGTCCTTTCTGTTTGTTAGTTTTCCTTCTAACAGTCAGGACCCTCAGCTGTAGGTCTGTTGGAGTTTGCTTGAGGTCTACTCCAGATGCTGTTTGCTGGGGTATCAGCAGCAGAGGCTGCAGAAGATAGAATATTGCTGCACAGCGAGTGTTGCTGTCTGATTCTTGCTCTGGAAGCTTCGTCTCAGGGCTGTACCCTGCCGTGTGAGGTGTGAGGTGTCGGTCTGCACCTCAGTTGAAAATGCAGAAATCACCCGTCTTCTGTGTCACTCACGCTGGGAGCTGGAGTCTGGAGCTGTTCCTATTTGGCCATCTTGGACACGCCCCCGCATTTGTTATTTTTAAGCAAATCATTTTAAGGAGTCTACAGAGAATGGGGCTGAAAGATGTGGGAAGAATAGGTAGAAGAGGAGTGTGGGCAGGATAGAGAACAGAAGACGTTGAGGTAGGGACGGAGGATTATGTTCTGAGTTGTGATTAGAGGTGCTGGAACTTTGATGTATGATGAGTTTATTTGAATGCTCGTGTCACTGCCCACTAGCCAAAGACCAACAGGGACACAAGTTGGGTTGTTACTCCTGGCAGTGAGGAGCAACATGCTGAGTGAGGAGTAGCATGCTGACCCTGGAGAACCCAGAGGTATACTCAGTAAGAGGGCTTTAGAAATGACTTCTTATAGGAGTTGGGCTTGTATTGGGTCATTTTGGAGAGCATTTAAGGTAGTAGAGCTTTGCAGTGGGTTAGATGCTCTCAGGAAGCAGAAGTAATTGTCTGATTGGGTGTCTTAATAATGCTTTCCTAGAAGTTGAGTACAGTTGTGAGACTAAACCTAATTGGTAAGGCACAGTCACTGTTACCAACTATTGTAGGGTGTATCATGGACAGTATTCATGTTTTGTGTATGTTTAGGTGATTACAGAGTTGTCTTGATCGATCCATCATGGCACAGAATGGGCTTGTCTAGATATTGATGTTTTGTGAAATTGTTTCTGTTCCACAGGACCCCAGGACCTAATATTGTGACAGGCCAGCTCCTGGATGCCATTCTCACTAGGTTCCATGTGGGCATATGGATATAGTTATAGTGGATTTTGCCTTATCCTGTACATATAGAGGAGTCAGCTATATACTTGCTTGTAGTTGTTCAGTGTCCAAACAGTTCTACCTAGAGCACAGATAGGAGTTGATTTTAGAATTATATACAGATCATTTCTTGAAGGACTTTTAGCTATAAACATTTATCATAAGTGGTATAGACTAATGTTGTCTGATAGTTTGATGCATGAACATCCTGCCTCAACATCTATTTATACACACAGAGATATAAAAGAACATGTTACCATTTCTAAAGTATGCACATAAATGGGGAAAAGAAAGTAGAATTGCTTGATTTACTTTTTTCTTTTTTTTTTTTTGAGATAAGGTCTTGCTGTGTCACCCAGGCTGGAGTGCAGTAGCACGATCATAGCTCATCGCAGCCTTGAACTCCAGGGCTCAAGCCATCCTCCCACCTCAGCCTCCCAAGTAGCTGGGACTACAGGTGTGCGCCATTGAACCTGGCTATTTTTATTTTTTGTAGAGTTAGAGTTTTTGCTGTTTGCCCAGGCTGATCTTGAACTCCTGGGCTCAAGTGATCTTTTCGCCTCAGCCTTCCAAAGTATCAGGATTACAGGTGTGAGCCACTGCGCCTAACCTGCTTTAGTCTTTAGTAATACTTCAAATTTGTATTGATCACTTTGAGGCATTGTGGAATTCTGAATTATCTTCTGAATAAGCAAAGGAAAATTCTGCAAGTTCCCTGTTTCCCGTTGGTCCTCAGAGGCACTCTCCTGAAGACAAGTCTTTTTACTTCTTTGGGCCTTGTTCTCATTTTTCCTAAGAAAAGCCTCAGTTGAATGAATCTCTGCTGTTCCAACTAGATGGAAAAGCCTCGTACTTTGTGGTTAAACACATTGAAATAAAGAACTTGGGAATAAAAATCTTTTTTTCTCTCATCTCAGAATTATTTGTCAAAGAGAATCACGAATTAAGAATAGCAGGAGGAGCAGTGAGGGATTTGTTAAATGGAGTAAAGCCTCAGGATGTAGATTTTGCCACTACTGCTACCCCTACTCAAATGAAGGAGATGTTTCAGTCGGCTGGGATTCGGATGATAAACAACAAAGGAGAAAAGCACGGAACAATTACTGCCAGGGTGAGTCAAAAGTTTGACAGTTAATTACATTGCTTTTTTGGTAATTTTTAAAAACTTAATAATTTTCTCTAGTTAAGAGCAAATAACGAAAAGTCAGTCTCTTCTACCCCTGTCTGAAACCCTGCAGTCCTCTGTTCTTGCAGTCATGTTTAAGTTTTATGTTATTTCTCCATTTCTAAAAAAGACCTTTGTATACTATGGTGTTTACTTTTTAGTTTTTACTATCGCAGTTTTAAGATGTGTTATGTATTGACTTTCCATGAGGGAAGATGATTTAGCTTTCTTACCACACCCTTCTCAACAACAAGCACATGTAATTCTCCTACTTCTATCTTCCTAGTATATTTATATCATAATTTTTGGTTAAATCAATATTCAGGGTTCACGTTTACGACTCTGTATTGTTTACAGCCAGATTGTGGAGTATATTGTGATTACATTTCATCTATTGGCATGGTTTTTAATTTTCCTGCAGTTAATAGCATTTTTCTTTTACATAGCTTTCCATGTACCACTAATTTATTCCTGCACTCTGCCAGAACTGTAGAGTTCCTCTCAAAAGATTTAAACACATTACATCAAGTTTCAGTTGCGTGTTTGAGAAACATCTTACCTGGTGCTGTCTTCCTGCTCCAATATGGACTTTTAGGAATTTCCTTGGCCTCTCTATTTTGTTAGATCTCCTGTTTCCTGGGTCCCATGTGCTGTTCTCTCTTGGCTTAAGCCCTCATTTTAATAATCCAATACCTGAGGAAGCCTTACACGTCTGAAAATGTGTTTATTTTACCTCCACACTGGTTTGATAGTTATGATTATAGAATTCTAGACTGGGAATAATTTTTACTCGGAAATTTAAAGGTATTGTTTTCTAGCTTTCAGTACTGCCACTAAGTCTAGTTCCATTTAGAGTTCTCTTTTGTTTAAAAACCTGACTGCCATTATTTCCTTTTGGAAGTCTTTCTGATCTTTTTATGTCTAATGTTTTTAATTTCAAGATGATATAACTTGTTTTGGATAATTTTCACTTATTGTGCAGGCCACTTAGTGGGCCTTCTTATGTTTCTTTCATAATTTCATCCCTTTTGTTAAATGTTTTTTCCTTTGGAAACTCCTATTATTTGGATGCTGGATTGCTGGGACTGACCTTCTAGTTTTTTGTTTTGTCTTTATTTTACATTCTCCTGTCTTTTACTTTCTATGAGAGTGCCTTAACTTCGTCTCCCAGTCATTGTATAATACTAGCAAGTTCTGTGGTCTTGTAGAATTTCAAGAGGTCTGTCTTAGTATATTTCTTTGGAAAGCTTCCCGTTCATGTTTCAGATGCAAGATCTTTTATTTCTCTTAGGATATCTACTATAGTTATTTTGACAATGTCTTTGTTTCTTCTGAGTTTTTTCTTTCATGTTGGCTTTCTTTAAATATGGGTATTCTTTGGCTCTGCCTTTATATTTGGGTGATGCTGTACACTTGAGGGCTTTATTGTAGTTTTGCATGGGAAGTGTCAGCCAGTTGGGACTCCCAGTGTAAGTCTCAGTAGGAGTTTTCATTAGGAGAAATCAGAGAAGAATACTCCAGTATTATGCCAGGGAATGAGCCTGATTGTTAGCATCTTGAAACCAAGTAGGGAAAGGGATGAGGGTCATGTTAATTTTCACTTTAATTTTGTTTTCATTATGATGCTTCATTCCTATGAGCATCTGTGCCTGGTGAAACAAGTTCTGATTATTTTTGGTTCAACCTTTCTAGAGGGTCAATCCCTGGTTTTCGGCCTCGTTAAGGGAGTCATTCTAGGTGGGTCTGATTATTTCTTAAAATGAGTTTCAAACAGTTTTCCTATTTCAAACCTTACCGTATTCTTTGCCTTCAGAGATACGTGTGCCTCAAATTCTTGAGTTCTGGAATTCTATAGTGAGAGATAGATGTAGCTTGTATCTAGAGAAGAGTATGTATGAAATTGAGAAAAATCTTACAACAGACTTCTGGTGATCATGAATGGCTTTCACTTCCTAAATGAAGACATTCTTAACTCTTGGCACATAAAACACTTTATTCTCTACTCCTAAATGCTAATATGCTGTCTGTCAAATATACTTTCTCTTTTACATATATTCCTCTTTCTCCACCATGCCTTTGGTCATCTTTTCTCTTCATTTGAAATTTTCCTGCCACACCTGCATGTACAAACCCTGCTGCTTTTTCAAGGCTTGGCACAGATGCCACCCTATCACGAAGTTACACAGCTTCCCCAGCTGGAGGTAGTCTGTCTTCCTATGATAGAGGTAACTCTTTATGTTAATTTATTTCTTTCTCTTTTGAGACAGGGCCTCACTCTGTTGTGCAGGCTGGAGTGCACAGTGTGATCTCGGCTCACTGCAGCCTCTGCCTCCCGGGCTCTAGCGATCCTTCCACGTTAGCCTCCCAGGTAGCTAGGACTACAGGCATGCACCACCACACCTGGCTGTTTTTCTTTGTATGTTTGGTAGAGACGGGGTTTCACCATCTTGTCTAGGCTGGTCTTGAACTCCTGAGCTCAAGTCATCCACTTGCCTTGGCCTCCAAAATCCTGGGATTACAGGCATGAGCCACCACCCCGGCCTTTATTTTAATTTCCCTGGGAATTATCAGTAAGGGAGTTACAGGATCTGTTAACTGTACTTACTGTTTATCAGTCTTTTGCTCAATGGCACATGTTCCATAAATTGACATTCACCCCTTTGCAAACAGGAGCTATTAAAAGTATTTCAGATAATAGCTTGATTTGAAATTGAAGAACATTTTTGAGGGTTTCTCCACATCACCTGGCAGAGGTGACATGTTTGTATGTTAAACTCATCTTCTTTAATCATGATGGATATTTAAAAAAAAAAATCAGTCTTTGGATCTGTTTTTGAATGACGTGGATATCTTTCTGTTTCAATGTTTAGATATGGTAGTTGATGTTAAAAAGACTATAACTGTCAGGGCTTATAGTACCATCTCTTTATAAAGACAAAAACTTACTGTTTTTCAATTCAGTAGTATGGAAACCGAATTTAAATGACAACAAAAACACCATGTATTTAATTGCAGCTTCATGAAGAAAATTTTGAGATTACTACACTACGGATTGATGTCACCACTGATGGAAGACATGCTGAGGTAGAATTTACAACTGACTGGCAGAAAGATGCGGAACGCAGAGATCTCACTATAAATTCTATGTTTTTAGGTAATACTTGCAGATAAAACCATATTTTGAGTCTATCAGAATGCCTTCTTTTCAAGTAAAACCTACATTCTGGAAACGTTATTCAACTTCAGAATTCGCGTTAATTTCTTCTAAGAGATGGTTTAGCAGATTGCTTTAAAGAATAGACTCTGGGCCAGGTGCGGTGGCTCAACGCCTGTAATCCCAGCACTTTGGGAGGCTGAGGCGGGCAGATCATGAGGTCAGGAGATTGAGACCATCCTGGTTAACATGGTGAAATCCCGTCTCTACTAAAACTACAAAAAATTAGCCGGGCGTGGTGGTGGGAGCCTGTAGTGCCAGCTACTCGGGAGGCTGAGGCAGGAGAATAGCGTGAACCTGGGAGGTGGAGCTTGCAGTGATCCAAGATCACACCACTGCACTCCAGCCTGGGTGATAGAGCGAGACTCCGTCTCAAAAAAAAAAAAAAAAGACTCTGGAGCCAAAATCCTTGGGGTCAGATTCTGACTCCATCACTCACTAGCCACAAAACAAAAATGTTAATTAATATTGGCTTCCTTTGTACAGCCGTTGTGAGGTTTAAGAGTTAATAATGATAAATGCTCAGAACAGTGCCTGACACATGTACACATTCAGTCAGTGCTAACTTCTTAACTGCATCTGAACAACATTAACATTTCAGGGAAGGAAAATGCACACACGGTACATGTACACACTCCACACACACACCCAGGATCATTCTTTTTCCTTTGCACTACCTTTCATGCATGTGTATTCACTCTTTCTTCTGCTTCCCTGGCAAACAATGGTGAATGACTTCAGCACCTTTTTTTACTGCTGAGCCTACACACAACCTCAGATTCTTTTTTAGCATTGTTTTCTAGCAGTCATCAATAATCAGAGTCAGTATGTAAGATGAAACCTATTTATTTCAGCTTAACTTTTATGTTTAATGAAAGCACTGGGAATTATATGGGGGGTAGATATGAATTAGGTTAGTGTTTTGATACGTTACTGATGCATCATATGTTGTACTTTAAAGTTAAGACAAGCCCTTTATGTTTAAGATTTTGGATTAAAAAAGGATGAAACATCTGCTATTCATAACCTAGTTTGTAGCAACAATAGTGGTAAAAGGATGAAGTAATAGGATTTGCTTCATGCATGGATGGGCAAGAAGTTTATAAGCTAAGGTGGGATCTCTTGCTGATTACAGTAATGGCAGATACAATTTCTAGGGTACCTACTGGGTTCTAGGTACAACACTGGGTACCTGATATACTTTATTTCATTAAACTCGCAGAAAAACTTCATAAAGTGTGTTAAGCCCACTTGATAGAAGAGGAAACTTGAGACTGAGAGATACTAAGTAACTTAGTTTAAGTCATAGAGAACCATTATTTTGGCTTGTTTGCAAAGCCTAGGCAATATATGACCATAGAGAGCCCAATTGGTGCGTTTTCTCTCAATTAATATAGTCAGAGCTCCAGGTATTTATTTATTCTCATATTTACTCATAGAAGAAACTGCTCCAAGTAGTGCAATATAGAGAGTCTTGTCTAACTGACTTCTCATAAGCATACTGAAAGAGAGAAACCAACATTCTTTTTCAGTGTCCTAGTTTATAAAATAAAAGCTGTTCTTATTGGAACTATCATTTTCTGACGTTTACTGAACCCTTATAACGTACCAGGCACTGTTCTAAGCACGTTATGTACAATCTCCTGACAACCCTGCAAAGCAGATACTGCTATTTAACCGATGGTAACTTGCCCAAAGTTGCACAGCTTATAAAGTGTAGGATCGGAATTCCAACTCAGGCAGCCTGACTCCAGAGGTCACATTCTTAACCACTACATTATTCCCTGCAACTCAGCTGTATTTCATATTTTTATTTACTGTATTTTAAAAGGATGATATTCAGAGCAAAACAAAATACACACCAATATGATGCTTACTAAGCTTTGTGTAGTTTTCTATCCTGGCTTTTTCCAAGCCTTATTGGATCAAGCATTCATAGTTCTGGCATTTATGGTTGGTTATTTTGCTTCCCAAACCCTTATTTTTGCTTTGATCATATTCCTGTGATTTTTTTTCCTCCAAATTTTGATCTTGCCTTTAGGTTCCCCAGGGAGAGTTACAAGTCTCTTCATTAGGAGAAATAACACTGAGATGGATATACCATATTTGCTACTTTGTTATCATATTTTTGTCTGTTTATTTACATATTTTTTTTTTATCTTCATTTTCTTTTTGAATCTGGAGCCTTCGAAATTTGCCAGATACGTCAAGATGGTTCCCTTTTAAAAGTTACTATGCATATAAAACTTTTAACAGCTTGGGAAGAGTTAAGCATTAAGTGTGAACTTACCAATATACTGTTGCTTTTGGGATAATCAAAGAGCATTCAAGTTCAAACACAACCAAGAGGTATTTTTGACAAGTAGTTGTCAGTGCCTCTTTTCTGTAATGCTACAGAGTGAAGTATCTCATAGGATCACTGACCTCCCCATTTGGTTAGCTGAATGGTGTCTGTGTTTCGGCTCTCAATTCCTTTTTCTTTTTCTTAAGTCTCCATGGTAACCAACTGTCTTAGTTTGTCTGAGTTTGAAATATTTCCTTGGATGTGTGATTTTCAGCTTTAAAACTAGGAAAGTCTCAGGCAAACCAGTATGAAGTGGTCACTCTACTAATTAATACTTAAGGTTTTATGTACATATATATAAAATTATTTTATGTTGCTTTTTCTTTTTTGGTTTGACATATGAATTTGTTTATTACCATTTTTGTGAATGGCTAATAGATTAACATGGTTCAAAATTCACAAAGTTTTAAAGGCTCTGTAGTGAAGTCTCCTGATCTGTAACGAACAGGACTGCCCGTTTTTACCACACCCTTGCTAACACTGTTATCAAATGTTTGCATCATTGCCGATCTGAAAAATGCTATCTCGAAAATGTGTGTTTACTGGCCGGGCATGGTGGCTTATGCCTGTAACCCTAGCACTTTGGGAGGCTGAGGCAGGCGGATCACTTGATGTCAGGAGTTCGAGACTAGCCTGGCCCATATGCCAAAACCTTGTCTCTACTAAAAATATAAAAATTAGCTGTGCGTAGTGACAGGTCTACTTGGGAGGCTGAAGCAGGAGAATCACCTGAACCTGGGAGGCTGCAGTGAGCTGAGATTGCACCAACTGCACTGCAGCCAGGGTGACAAAGTGAGAATCTGCCTCAAAGAACAAAAAATGAATTTATGACTAAGGTTGAAAATCTTCATTATTAAAGAGATTTCTATATTTCCTTTATATGTAGCCTATTTTTCTATTTATGTGGCCTTATTTAGAATAATTTTTATATATTACGGAAATTAGCCATGTTTTTTAATATGGGCTTACATGTATTTTTCCAAAGATGTCACTTATGACTTTCTGTGTGACAGTAGTTTCTGCCATACAGGCATTTTTGATTGTTTATGTCATTCAATTATTTCTTCGAAAATCCTGTTGTTTTGTGTTTTGTTTTCTGTTTTCTTGCTAAGTAGAGTTTGAAAGATCTTCCCCATTCCAAGATTATGAAATATTTTCGTTTCTTCTGTTAATCCTGTTATGTATTTTTTCCATTTTATTTTGGCTATTGTTTATTTTCCCATATTGTGAAAATTAGCTTGTATGGTGTCTTGTTGGCTCCACTCCACCTCATACAAATTTTGCATATTTCTTGTTTAGGTTATTCTTGAATTACCTTTTTAGTTGCAATTGTAAATGCAACTAAACAAACTAAAAGATTGTCTTTTATTGTCTTCCATTTGATAGCTGATATATATGAATACCTGTGTTTTAATAACTCTTCACCCTGCTGAATTTTTACTGTTTGTGATAGTGCTTAGCTGATTTTCTTGTGTTTTCAAATTCTTATTTGCCAACAGTGATTTTTCTCTCTTCTAACGAATAGGTTTCGATGGCACTTTATTTGACTACTTTGATGGTTATGAAGATTTAAAAAATAAGAAAGTTAGATTTGTTGGACATGCTAAACAGAGAATACAAGAGGATTATCTTAGAATTTTAAGATACTTCAGGTAAGAATTTTTAAAAATAAAAAGTGCTAGTTTTAATATAATCACTAGAGCGTAACACTAGTCATATGAAACCCACAGCAGGTCAGTGTACAAAATGGTGACATCCCAGATGTCTGTCTCCAGTGGAGACCTAGCATCCTATGCCTTATGAGTGAAAATTACTTAGCTACTTCATATTGTATTTTCATTCCCAGAAAGCACATATACTTTATGTGATCTTTCCTGTAATTCTGGTTTAAGTCATTTTTTTAAATGCCCATTTTTCTTTTTGATTGATATTTCCTTCATTGATCCATTAGTTACACAGATGTTTGAATGCTTACCACAGGTCAATCCCTGTGTTAGGTGTATTAAACATGGTAATGAATGAGTGGAAGTGTTCGCCTTCATACAGCTTATGGTTTTAGGTGGTCGTGGAAATCGGGTGATAGTTCACAACAAAATGATTTTGCTGAAAAGAAATACCTGTTATATGATTAAACATATCACAGTATAAAGACATACTCAAAACTCGGATGGGCCGGGTACGGTGACTCACGCCTGTAATCCCAGCACTTTGGGAGGCTGAGGCAGGTTGATCATGAGGTCAGGAGATTGAGACCATCCTGGCTAACACGGTGAAACCCAGTCTCTACTAAAAATACAAAAAATTAGCCGGGCGTGGTGGCGGGCACCTGTAGTCCCAGCTACTCGGGAGGCTGAGGCAGGAGAATGGCATGAACCTGGGAGGTGGAGCTTGCAGTGAGCCGAGATCGCGCCACTGCACTCCAGCCTGGGCGACAGCAAGACTCCATCTCAAAAAAAAAAAAAGAAAAACTTGGATAAAGTTGGTAAATATGAAATGCACGACTAGTTTTGTGAGTAGCAGTGATTTTTAAATGTCACACACTAACCTTTTTTAAAAACTATCCGAATTGGCTAGTTGATGTCAAGTAATACTCATTTTTCACTGGTTGGGACTGCTCTCAGAATATTCTGTAACAGATCATATTTTGTCAATAAATGTAGTTTTTTTAAACTTGAGTATCTGTAGTCTCTCTTACAAATAATAGAACATAGATTAAGACTTAGCTGTATTTGGATCACTAATCCAAATTTAGCATTAATTTACTTATTTAGCATTAACTTTGGACCACTGATGAATAGAGGGTGTTCATTAGAATTTTAAGGATATGAGTGGTAAAACACATGTACGTTAGGGCTTCCAGTGCCAAGATTCCATGAAATATACTCCAAGGTGTGCAACTAGATTAGTCATATTTGAAGGTTTTCATTGAAAGTATTAATGTGTACAGACAGGCAAGTTTTGAGGAATTAAGACTACTCTGTTAAGGCACTGCAGTCTTGTTTTGGTTTGCTCCCTTTACAAGAATGCTATTTTTTTTTCATCTACTGCAAGTGCCAATTCAGAAATTGCATTTGATGACCATTCTGAACGTCTTAAGTCAATGATTTGGAAGTGAGGTTGAGACCTTGAGGTTCTAGTTCTTGCTAACCTCAGAAAGGCTACTTATACTTTATTAGATGTAGGGTTTTCTTATCTGGGAAAAGAAAGAGGAGGTGGAGAAATGACCAGTTGCTTTCTACTAAAATACCAGTAGATGTATGGGATAGTATCAATAAAAATGAAAAACAGATTTTTCTTGTGACATGCCAATATAGAGGTAATACCCTGTGAAGATTTTGTCTTGTAGGTTTTATGGGAGAATTGTAGACAAACCTGGTGACCACGATGCTGAGACTTTGGAAGCAATTGCAGAAAATGCAAAAGGCTTGGCTGGAATATCAGGAGAAAGGATTTGGGTGGAACTGAAAAAAATTCTTGTTGGTAACCATGTAAATCATTTGATTCACCTTATCTATGATCTTGATGTGGCTCCTTATATAGGTGAGAGCAAGTTATAAAGTATTTGAATTTTTGGCACTGAAATACCTGGTTTCAAATTTCATAAGGAAAAAATGTTTGACTCATTTGGTTGAATTCTTGATGAAGAAATGGAGTACTTTAAAATAAGACAAAGTTTTGGTTATGGGGTGGGTACGTTTTGTTGTGAGTAGGGAACAGCTCAAAGACAGCCTATGGTGCTTGTAGAGTAGTCTCGAGTCAGATCTAGGTTTGAAGGAAGCTCAGCCCCTTATCTAGTCTTTGCAACTTTGGTTAGTTTCTAACCCAAAAAAGGGGTTTAAAAGTAATATACCGTCTGTCTAAAAGAAAAGCTAAATGATTCAGTGAGTTAATACATGTAAAGCTCTTTTAGAAGAGTAACTTGTACACAGAAATTGTTCAGTCAATGTAATTCATTTTCACAAAGAACAGTGGGATTATATGGTTTATCACACTTCTGGAAGCTTGGGTATATTATTTCAAATTTCAGTAACATCATTGAATGGGTGGTGGATGTTGTATCAGTGGAAAGTCAGGAATTTGTGATTAGAAAGAATATGCCTTGTGAGTCTGACACTACCATCACCACTACCTCTGGACCTCTTGATGTAGCTTGTTAATGGAAACAACATTTTAGAGGTTTTGAAGGTAATAGGGGAGAGAATAACAATAATATATTAGTGGTTTGCCTGTAAGTTGGAACATCAGACTGAACCTATATGATGTATCCTAGTGACAAAGCATTTCTGTATACTAAAACAGTGGCAAGGTTTAGGATATGAGTGGTTTTCTTCCCCCACTAAAAACAGGTGAAAAATGCTTTTATCCCTACAGGTTTACCTGCTAATGCAAGTCTAGAAGAATTTGACAAAGTCAGTAAAAATGTTGAAGGTTTTTCACCAAAGCCAATGACTCTTTTGGCCTCATTATTCAAAGTACAAGATGATGTCACAAAATTGGATTTGAGGTTGAAGATCGCAAAAGAAGAGAAAAACCTTGGCTTATTTATAGTTAAAAATAGGAAAGATTTAATTAAAGCAACAGATAGTTCAGACCCGTTGAAACCCTATCAAGACTTCATTATAGATGTAAGTGTATACTCGGCTTGGTCAGAAATATGAAGTATTGTCACTAATTTATAATTTATCAAAACTAAGATCTACAATTCTGTGAACTTTACTTATTTTAAAGGAAAAAATTTATGTTGAGTATTTAAATTTTAGGATAAGATCGTTAAGTGTATGTTTTCATGTGTGATGAAACTAAATTTTGATTTTGACATGTAGTCTAGGGAACCTGATGCAACTACTCGTGTATGTGAACTACTGAAGTACCAAGGAGAGCACTGTCTCCTAAAGGAAATGCAGCAGTGGTCCATTCCTCCATTTCCTGTAAGTGGCCATGACATCAGAAAAGTGGGCATTTCTTCAGGAAAAGAAATTGGGGCTCTATTACAACAGTTGCGAGAACAGTGGAAAAAAAGTGGTTACCAAATGGAAAAAGATGAACTTCTGAGTTACATAAAAAGACCTAAAACTGATGGCTACTAAAAAGCAGAGCATTTCTGGTAAGATAAATTTTCTCCCCTCTCTCTTAATGAGGTTTTAGAAACTACATCATAATAAAAGACAGTTTAGGGGACCTCTGTAGAACAACAAGGGTCTTATTTTGTGAAATATATTTCAAGAACTAAACTGAGATCCACCTTTCTTGATCCGATTTATATCACTGAAATGTACAGTTCTTTTGGAATAGTTTCCATAGTTGGCTATCATCTTAACCTGTTCAGGCTTTTTTAAAAAATTGTTTTTGCATAGGGTAGTACTAAGATCTTAAAAAGTAGTAACTGTCTTGAAGAAAAAATGTTTATTGTTTGCAATTGAAATAACTGGGTTACCTTGAACAATGACTATCTATGATGTGTCAGTTCTTATCTGAATTCCAAAAGAAACTTGGGCTTAAAAAGGAAATAACTGACAAGTCTGCATAAAATATGAATACTAAATGTGTCCCCAGTTGCTGGCATTCATACGTACAGGATTTGTTCTAGCAAGTTATGCTTTAGTATGTGGTTGATATTTTCCTGTCACAATGATTTCTTTATGCTGCAGGGCCTGGGACAGTCATGGGATTAACTTGAGGGTTACTCTTGAGCCTATTATTTTAATAAAACATTGGTATTGGAAGATAAATGTGTTTATGTGGTATCTGACAATGTATATCAGGTGTCATATACAGTGGTAATATGCCTCTCTTTAAAGTAAATGTTATTTTATTAATTAAAAGGATATGGTTTACATTCTTACATATTTGTTCTCTAAAGATTTGAGTCCTAAATGCTTTCATTAGGTAAATAAAATGTATAACACAAACTGTTTATTTCAGCTGCTATACTGACATATCATTATTTCCTTTCTGTGTAGCCAGTCATAACATCTTTGTGCTCTATGAGCAAATAGTAATTTTGGACCTTGATAAAACAATTTTGTAGAGTATAATATTTCTAAGAGGAAGTGTCACAGGGGCTATGATGCAAGAAAGCCTCAGAAATGACTGCATACAGGTCAGTAATTAAATGCATTATAAAATAATACTTTGAAATATTTGAGTAGTGCCAAAATACAGATTTAGACCCAAAATCATATAATACATACCATTTCTGTATAGAAAGTATGCAGAGTTAGCTATCAGAGGTTTGGTTTTGTCATGTGTAAAGCCATTTTCAGTAGTAGTATATGTGTGTTTTTACAGATCAGAAAATTTTATTTGCTAGTAAGCAGTATGGGACATACTGAAATTATAACTAACTTTTCAGGGGGAAAGGTAACTCATTGCAAATGCTGCTGAAAAGAACTTCCTGGGATCCACTTAGAGTCAGTTTTAGTGCAGTGTAAGAACTATTATGAACAACCAATGAAGTCATATAAACCCAAAATTATTAAAAGTAGTAGGCCAGGTGTGGTGGCTCAATGCCTGTAATGCCAGCACTTTGGGAGGCCAAGGCGGGCGGATCACGAGGTCAGGAGATCGAGACCATCCTGGCTCTCACGGTGAAACCCCTTCTCTACTAAAAACAAAAAATTAGCCAGGCGTGGTGGTGGGCACCTGTAGTCCCAGCTACTCGGCAGGCTGAGGCAGAAGAATCACTTGAACCCAGGAGGCAGAGGTTGCAGTGAGCTGAGATCGTGCCACTGCACTCCAGCCTGGGCAACAGAGCAAGACTCCGTCTCAAAAAAAAAAAATAGTAGTAAAGTAGAGCTTAGAAAAAATAAGGCAGGGGCATATCCTGAATAGAAGCATTCTTGAATTTTCATTTACTCTATTTACATAAATATGCAATGTGATACTCAACTGATTTCACTCCACTCAGGCATGTATTTTGGCCTCATACTATTACTCTAGTTTGAGTAAACATTTAACCTGATTAAAGTAGCAAAAGAGTATCAATAAAACCAAAGTTATTACACAAATGTGAAAGGACCCACTAAACCGTTGAATATAAGCAAAGAGGTAGGTGGCAAAGCAGTCTTTTTAGAACTTTAAAATTATGAGTGATATTTTATATTATTTGAACAAAGAACATGTTTAGTTTCACATTTAAGGTTTACTTACAGATTTTCTTCAATTTACATTGAACAAAATACAGTATCACATGTAGCCTGTGTGAGGGGACATGTTTTGGCAAATTTTCCCTGTAATAGTAGTTTTGGTTCAAATTAATTTTTGAAAAATAGCTTTTGTATGGAACAGTATAAATGGGCTTACAGTTCAAATACTGAGCAAATACACAATACTATTTTTTACTAACAGGCACATAAAGGAAATGACAACTATTCGTGGGCTCAAAAAACTGCATATTTTAACTAATTTTCAAAATTTACAAATCAGTATCTCAGGGAAGCTAAAGAAAATGGAAAGGAACAAAGCCCTTTTAGAATTATACATTGTCTTGCTTCTTTCAAAAAGGAACATGTACTTGTCACCCTAGCTTTTGTCATTTAGAGCACTGGTACAGATATACTGTCCCATACATCAGGATCAAATAATTCGTTTCACATTGTAGGAATTTAAGATTTTTTTTTACGCAGGAAATAATCTCATTTCCAAACATGTCTTCATGTCCCATCAATGACATGCTGCCAGACATATCAGATTCCACAGGATAATGGTACCAAGCTACCCAAGTAGATGTTTCTAGTATTCTAGACTGCTGTTCATGCTCTCCAAAAGTATACTTAGAAACTGCAACCCTCCAAGTAATGTTGTGTTTACTTAGATATGTATCAGACGCAATAATTTCCAAAGCAGATCTGATTTTAGAATATAACCAATTTGTTAGATAACTTTATCTCTACCACATCTGTTTACAAGCAAAGTATTACTTTGTCTGGACTTATTTCATCTTCGGTGTCTGGGATCGTGGGCAACAGAGCAGATCGCGTTAAGCCCCAAAATTTTTGAGGTGACATGTCTTTTTTGGTGGCCGTAAACTTCCATCCAATATGGCTTGCACAGATCTTACACTGGGCAACAGTCCAGGCATACCTAAGAAAATAAGGAAAGATATCAGCTAAGGAAACACTTCTGTACTCCAAGCCTATCCTATCTATCATATAAACCTATCATTAAGGCAGACCTCAGAGGCATAAGGAGATATTCTAAGTTGAGATTTGATCCATACAGTTCCCTGAAACCTAAAAACATTTGCTAATTTGGATACATCCTATGGTAATACATCAGTCTGTTATATATAATTTTATGCTCTTAAGCCATGTTCACATTCTTCTGCATAGAAATAAAGAGTAATCTTAACAAATTTCTTTATACAAATTGCTGGTTGCCAAGACCACATTCTAACTTGTGTTGTTGTGTTGTATTGCAGCCAAGTTAGAAAACAGCAACCACCTGCAGAAATAGGCACTTCTGTCTGAGTTAAACTGGATGGGCCAGGAAGGACACGTCTCAAAAAATACTTGAAAACTACTATTCTAAAATAAGAATGATTGTCAGATAATGCAACCAGAAATACAAACCATGGCATTTTGTTTTTAAGATAAACCACATAATTGCAACTGTTTTTTTTTTTCCCCTAGGTATAGTATGCCACATTTACTATTTATAGTAACAAATGTATTCTAGTTTTAGTCCTCACATACGGTGCCAAATAAGATAGATAGGGCAATCCAAGTGACATGGTCCTAACTCTAGAGTAGCATGTAATCCCTTCTTAGCATCCCTCTTTGAAAACTGAAGATAGTTGAAGATAGTACGGCTGAGGGAAGGGAGCAGGTTCCCAGGATCATACTTTTGAGAATCATTAAGCTGAAGCCAACAACAACAACAACGAAAGGCAAACCAGAAGAAAAGCAGGATTCAGTGGGTTCTGCACCTTCTTAGTCTATCATTGCTTTGTAAACATTCTCCGGTTTTACATTACTACAGAATATGGTCCAGATATAAAGTTTTACTGGGTCATAAAACAGCTGATTTTCAGAATTATGTGACAGAAAAAAACAATTTTGGATTTAACTGGATACAGTAATTTGAGGACAACTGCAGTTGTCAACCTTTTCTTAACTTTTCATTCAATGATGCTATATAAAAGATACAAAAAGTGCAACATGTTGCTAGCTATTTGTGGAATGAAGGACATTTAAATAAAATTACTTTTTTTTTTTTTTTTGAGACAGATTCTCACTCTGTCGCCAGGCTGGAGTGTAGTGGCTCAATATTGGCTCACTACAACACTCTGCCTCCCAGGTTCCAGTGATTCTTGTGCCTCAGCCTCCCGAGTAGCTGGGAGTACAGACCCCTGCCCCCACACCCGGCTAATTTTTGTATAAAATTACTCATTCATCTACTTTTTATTACAAAGATTGTAGCAACTCTGCTTAGGACTCTGGATTTTTCTGCCCAATTAGGGTAAAAAAAAGAAAAAAAAAAAGCAACCACCACCATAACATTACCCAGGAAACCAGCTGTGTTCCGTAGAAGGCCGGCCTATCAGATTCAAGTTGCAAGCTTTATACACAGTAAGTGTCTCATGCACATATCCATGAGGATTCACATAAGCTGCCATCGGCCCACATAAGGATAAACTAAAACAAAGAATCAACATGGAGGACAAGTCAAAATGAGAAGTCTAATTCTATTAAATGCTTAGAATTTTCCTGAAGTTCACCAAGAAATGAGGTATGAGCTATATAGTTTTTAATCTTTCAGTGTTACATAATACCAGGATCTTAGTATTAAAATGGGGTGGGGGTGCAGCTGGCAGACAGGCCTGTTTTGTCTAAATGTCTAAGTGTTTTCTGTGATGACCCAAAGGAAATAGTACTTGTTTTTAAAATCCTCCTCAAGACAGACATTGTAAAGAATATAAAATTCAAATGCTTCTAAAGGAGTCTGAGAGTATAAGTGCAATAACAAGGTCCTGTGCGGTCATTTTGGGGCAGTTGATTATTTTGCAGAAAGCAGTTTCCTTACCTTCTTGATTTATAACTCTGAAAATCATTTTATGACAAATTCATCAAACACTGTTATATCAGAGCATCAGTGTTCAGAAGCATGTCCTACTTTGGCCCTATATGGCAAAACTGATGACTGAAATGTAATTTCTGAGGCATCTATGTTAGGGCCTAATTGAAGACAATATATTATGTAGATTTCTAAGACAGTCTAATATATAGAATTGGGGGAAAAGAATTGCTCAGTTGTTTTACTTTACCATGCTCATTACCTGTGAATAATCCCTGACATGCATTGTTGATCTGAGTACTCAATCTGGAAGATGGTCTTAGCAAAAGTGAACTAATTCCCTATATTTCATTTGCTGAGTGTTTGTAACTTTTAGGTATTGGAGGAAAGTATATGGAAAACAGAAACACAGTCTTGATTGTAATTCTGATAAGGCAAGTGTATTAAAAATGTAATAAAGACCTTACCTGAATATTTCATTTTTGGTTGTTATTTCTGTTTCTTGACATTGTTTACAGCAAAGGGAAGTACACTAAAAAATTTGAGAGAAGAATTGGGAAACACTAAAAAATTTGAGAGAAGAATTGGGAAAAATTGGCATTCATTTTATCATGTAATCACATAGACCAAGAAACTTATAAAGATATTGCCCTCTCTGAATACCACATTTTCCTTCCAAGCATTCAAAAACACTTAAAAGATGGAGCCAGAAAATCACTGAAACTGAGATCTGCCACATATTTACATAAAACTAAATGACCTTCTTCTAGGGTAAAAGAATAGTGATATATAACCTTGGATATTTCCATGTAGAAATCAAGTATTTTTCACCAAGTTGATAAATGTATTCATATTTGACAAACACAAAACAATTTGCGTTTATCTGTAA